TTTATATGAATCTATTAAAAACTCATTTTTCAAAAAATTGTAAAAATGGGCTGTTTCTATTGACAACACCCCATATAAGCATAAACGAGGGCTGCTATGAAACTATTTCAAAAAATTTAGCCATAAAGTTTCAATAAAGACTGACGCGTGGTCTTTATGTACAAACCAATTATTCCTGTCAATCACATTACATTAGATCAATGACCAATGGCAGATGAAACGTATACTTCTAGATTTCATCACACTTCACAAATGACACATGGGTGTGTTTTTGGCAGAAACAATTTTCAACCTAATTGAAGACTTTGATTTAGGAAAAAAGCTTCTATCAATGACTGCTAATAATGCAGGTAACATGGATGTCTGTAGTTGGCAACTTACAAGTATGTTAAAATATCACTATGAAAATACTGCTTTTAGCCGATTGAGGTGTGCTGCACATATACTTAATCTCACTATCACAAATGGTCTTTCCGAAGTTGATGAGTCAACAAAAAAGGCCCAGGATTTCGCAAGTACAATTCGGCATTCTCAGCCACATCTAGAAGAACTAAAAAAATTTTTTTAATGAAAAACAAGCCATTTCTTGTACCTGACCTTGACTGCGAGACTAGGTGGAGCTCGCTATATTTGATGCTAAATAAGTTGTGTAGAATCCGGGAAGTGACAGATATATTAGTAGCTTCGATACCGCAACTTAAAAGTTTATATATAACTAATCAAGATTGGGCTAATATTAATACAATAATGGTGCTGCTAGAACCCATTTATGAAGCAACGAAATTACTTTCCTCATCAAGCATCCAACTATTGAAGATGTGCGTACGTTTTTTTTTGTGATTATAATGCAACTGACTGAAGCCAAAAATGAAAAAAAATCCAAAGTCTCAAATTGCTGAAAAAATTCTTGAGAAGCGTGACAAGTATTGAAATGAACAGTTGTATATCAGAATCCCACACAAAATCCCAGCAACAAAATCCTGATTCACAAAATCCTGACAAATTAAAATCCTAAAAATATTAAAATTAGGAATTTAATTTGTCGGGATTTTGTATATTGGGATTTTGTTGCTGGGATTTTGTGTGTCGGGATTTTGTGTGTCGGGATTCTGATATACAACCGAAATGAACTACAGTCCGCCCTTCTAGAAGCAGTATTACTTGATCCATCATCTAAATTCTCAACGTTTGGATCTAGTTTTGAAAAAGACAATGTACGTCAGATAGTTAATAAAACATATCAAAGCTATGCCCCCCTGTTGATAATAGAAGTAATCAAATTTTGGAAACTAATCAACTAATGTCAGCTCGTAACTACTTTTAAACCCAACTAAAGCAGTCCTATAATGAGATATCATATAATTGTAATGTGTTAGATGAGTACTTGAACACACCCGATGAGGATATAGACACTCTTGCATTTTGGAAATCAAAGTCCTTAAACCCACAATGGTTATCTCTTGTCAACATGGCTTATGATTACCTTATTGCACAGACAACTAGTGTTCCAAGTGAGGAGGCTTTTTCAGTTGCTAAGTATACTCTAAGTCCAGTACGAAACTGCTTAGATGATGAAAGACACGTGCGAGTCTTTGTTTAAAGACATGGTATGATTCAGGGTTGGCAAAAACTGATTTTAAATTTTTTTAAGTAGAAGTTTAATATTTGTTAAACGCGTCTCTTTTTATAATAAATTTTAAATTTTTGTACATAAAAAAAAGTGATTATCAATTACCATTATATTTGATATATATGATATATATTGTATTGTATGTATATATATTGTATAAACCTATTAAATTGCCAAGGCTGGACCAGTTTCACGAACTAGTTCCTAACTAGTTCAGGACCAGACTTTGTAGGGACTAGACCAGGACCGGACCAGACGGACTTTATAACATTCCTACCCCCAGACTAACGGTCTTGTTGAAAGGTTTAATTGTATCCTCTGTGAAGTCTTGGCCAAATGTGTAAGCCAATTTGGAGGAGATTGGGATGCTTATATCGCTCCTGCTCTTTTCGCTTATAGAACTACCTGTCAGGCAACCACCCGACATGAGCCCTTTTTTCTTACATATGGCCGAGATACCACGTTGCCTTTTGAAGTTAAATTCCCTTTAGAAAATTTGAGTGAAGAATCCATCGAAGCCCAAATTTTTCGTCGTATTGAACAACTTTTGGGTGATCTAACTTTCGCCCACCAACAGGCTCAGACGAATATCTGAAAAAGTCAGCAGAAACAACAAATCCAGTATCAGCAGAAAAATATAATTGAAAGCTATTATATTGGTGATAAAGTCCTCGTGTTTAAATCCGATTTTGATCAAACTAAGAGTAGAAAGCTTGAAGAAAAGTGAACTGGTTCTTGTTATATTCACGATGTGTTGGGAAATGGGTCATATAAGATAAGGAGTTTTGAAGGAAAAGTATATAAAAGGTTAGTGTATGATAATAGGTTAAAAAAGTTTGTTGTAAGAGAAAAAGTTGGAGATTCGATACATTACCATAGTTGAGTCTCGCTGGAGCTTGACTTTTGAGGAAGGGAATGTGTTAGTGTAAATTATCACTCTATCACATCCCCAACGCCGGGCATATGGTTCATGTGCCAATTAGGATGATCGTGTTACTCTATCTTGTTGATCTCATCATGTAACCTTAGATAGGCTATACTTTTTGTAGTCACCTTGTAATTTAATGATAAGGGCGTGAAAACTCTACTGATAAGAGTTGAGCAGTGGCAGAATAAAAAAGTATTGGGATTGAGTGTGGGATTTCATGTAGGTCCTGATAAGAAAAACATGTATTTATAGGCATTGTATTCGCCCTCAATTGAACTTCCAGACTTTGTTTAAATGGATTCGATTTCTCCCTTTAGTAGTATTTAGATTTGCTTAGGTCTTTATTTATTTTTTTATTTCTTAGTTTATTTTTCTTTGTCTGTTTTATTTATCAACTTATTTATTTACTTATCTTTTTGTTATACTCCGTTTCTGTTTCATATCTTTTATCTTTATAAAATTATTTAATAAATACATATTTCCCATCGCATATATTTAAAGCCTTCTATGCATATCTTTAAAGCGCATTGCGCATACATCTAATTGTCTAACATATCCTTATATATCCCCACTCAAATTGTTAGTCTGCGCTATAATTGTCCCTAATCTATCTAACAATTACCCTCCCGATTTGTATTATCATCCGTCCTTAAAGTGTACCTTGCATAAGTCTAACACTAGTTCCCGCGTATTGTTAACTCCACTACATTCTCTTCCCGTTACTATCAATGCTAATCAGGCTTTATTGCCGTTTGCTCTCCCACTTGATAGTAACAACGGGTTAATTTAAAACAAAATATAGCATAAATAACATAAAAAAAAAAAATCTTTTTTATCATATTATAAATAGTGGACATTCTAAATCATGAACAAAGAAAAATTTACTGATAGATTATTTATTCCCACAATATTTAGAATATCTCCGGCCATGTGAGGGCCCGAAGGCATTATATGACCGGAGATTTTCCAAGTTATTTGCCGGTAGTGGGAAATAAAGGCGTTGTTCGTTTTTGTATGATCGCGTGATGAGGTACTTTAAATGCAATTTCCAAGAATGTATTTATTTCATCGGTTTATCGGGAAAATAACGAAATAAAGCATTGCTGGAAACTTGGTTTTCACGATTAAAGTAGTGAATGTAAGTCGTTAATCTCATGAGATCATAAAAAACATGGAATAAATTATATTAATATATCTTACATGCTGTAATTCCTAAGAATTTGACAATGTTTTCATGATCATTAACTGTAATGTGTTGTTTTATCTATTATATATAATTTTGTCAGCCATGGTTAGTTAATAAAATCGGATACTAATAATGATTAGCATATCACCTCATTGACTAATATTTTATCTTCAGGCCTTGTAAAATTTTTGCATGCAATCTTTTCTCCATGGTATTCAGCAGAATAAACAACACTTTATTGAATAAAAAATAATCAGTATTTATAGATAATTTCTAAAAATAAAGGTATGCATACCTCTACCAATTTCATTGAAATCATTGAAATCACTAGATTCAAAGTAATTATGATTTTTGATATCCCTCTTTCCAACATCATTTCTATACACTCGCAACACCTTAATGCTAATATTGCATAAATATTCACATTATCTGTACTGCACATTGATAAATAACTTAACTCACAGTTTCGCTTATCTGTAATCTTTTCTAGAACTCCAAAATTACACTCATCGTGATGCTTTTTACAAACCTTCCGTTTTAATTCTTGGACCCCAACGACACCCCGAAAAATTTTTCAAAACGTGACCACAAACCAATCACAGTTGAAGATCAGGTGTAACGTAACACTAACGTAACACGTTCTTTTGCTAAAAATTGCCTATAACTCAAAAATCTGAATACGAAACCATATCTTGATAAAGATAAATACTAATAACAAACTTTTAAGAATTTAATTATCGAAAAATTTTTCGGGGTGCCGTTGGGGCAGTTTGCGAATATCCGTAAACAATCAGGAAATTCAAAACAGACGTTAGTTTAGTCAAAAGTCACCTATTTCTAAAATCCGTACAAGAAAGTGAGCGATTTTGCTATATAACTTGCTAAAATCTAACCCTAATATGAACGCTAATATAACGTCAATAAAGAATTTTGTTAACTGCAAATCTGCGCCACAAACTTTGCATACGTGAGAAAAAAATCGTAAAAACTAAAGATTCCAAAGGTTTCGCTATGTTAACTACAGTTGACTTCTAAATAAAACTTTTCAAGAAATTTTTTAAATATCGATTATCAAACTAACATTTACGCAGATCTCGAACATGCTTTTAATAATATTATTCTTTCAAAACAAAACTAATAAGAAATCTGCCTTTCACGCATACTAGTTTTGATAGGGTCGACAATATACATCTTTATAAAGAAGCTTACCTTCCGTAGAATTTTTTGAAACTTATCTTCTGAAAACATCTAATAATATAGAACTTTTCTAAAAAAGATGAGATATTTATCTGATCGTGATGTGTTCACAGCTTCTGTATTTATATAGAAGCAGTCTATTCCTGGTTATGTAAGACCTCACGATATGATTGTTTCACGTAACATAAAGCTTTTAATTTTTATTACGTCTTAATTTTTGGTTATCTGGAGATTTGAACCCGGTCATAAAAAAGGATTTCCGGAATTAATATCCGGTTCTTTGGCGCCGAAAATCGAGCCCGTTCTAAAATGCAATGCTTTGTAACACATCCTATATTTAAACTATATTAAAAATATATTTTTATTTGTATTCTTGCCGGAAAATTATTCGTATTATTATTATTATTGCTCGATCATATGACTTTATTTATACAGAACTGAAGAACATATGGGATTACGGTTCGCTACTCTTGCCGACTCCAATTTAAGTTACAACTACAGAAAACAACAAACACTTAGAACCTATTTCTGATAACAATGGCCCACTATAGCAATTTTTCCTATGTTGCAATAAAGTGACTAACGGACGCTAGCAATATTTTACGCGTCCTACAAACAAGACTGATGAAACTAGAAACCATTTCAGGTTCAAAGCTTAGCATGTAGAGCGGCCATCAAGGTTCGCTCCATAGCTGTAAAGAGAATCGGTAAAGTTGCCTTAAGCCCATGTGAGAAAGGGTATATTCTTATAATGGTCCTTGCACTGCCATCTGCAGCCGTGGAGCCAAAACAACAAGTGGTCCTTGCACTGCTACTGCAGCCGCGGAGCCAACGTAACAAGTAGTCCTTGCACTGCTACTGCAGCCGCGGAGCCAACACAACAAGTGGTCCTTGCACTGCTACTGCAGCCGCGGAGCCAACACAACAAGTGGTCCTTGTACTGCTACTGCAGCCGCAGAGCCAATACAACGATTGGTCCTTGCACTGCTATCGCATTAATTACCTTTCAAGAACCCATATAGGTGCGCAAACAAAAGAAGAAAGACAAAACCAAAAAACAAAGGTTATTTATTGTAATTCGGGTGGGTGAAGGAGGGCAATAGAGCCAGCCTTCACAAGGCGAGCGAAAGCGAAGAGAAAGATAACCATCTTCTTCCCAGATAGGTGACCTTAAATATCCCAAGCCACTTATCATTCTTCTGCGTCATCGCTTACCATCTTAAGACAGTAACTACCATTCCTTACGTCAATTACCGATTTTCTAATATTCATAAAGATACTAATTTCAAATACTCATATGCAATCACCAACTAACCCGAAATTACCTATACATACAAGATAATATCATGACGACATAATAACGAAAGAATAACCAAAGGAGTAATCAAAATAACCATAAAAGGATACATGACAAATTCTTGACGTAAAGTCATCTGATCTCGCAATAATGATCGCTCTGTCACTTCGTTGACAAGCTTTACATTAACCATTATAGTAAATAAAATAAATAAAAATAAAAAAGATTTTTAATTAAATGGTATTCGAATGAATAATGTAAATCTATTAAAACTTTGTAGTTCACTGTAGGACTTATATACAGTACAATAAAAAGATAAAGTAAAATAATAATTTGTAATAATAAATAAATAACGGACGTAATTTGTCTTTTTTGTTCCCTTAAATGTAAAGTTCTAAAATTTTAAACGTAACCTCCGTTATAATTGTCCGCCTTCAATCAAGCTGAGTCTTTATTTCTATCGGGCTATACATTTATGGAAACTGATGTCTGGGAATTTACTAATAATAGGTCAGCCGGTAAAGCTTATTCAAACCTATATGAGAGTGAAAACCTGAAAGTTAAAATTTAGCCCCTAAAAAAATTGATGCTGATTGGACTCATCATGCATGTCGATCTTCGTCAAAACAATCTAATTCTCGTCAAATTTGCAGATCATTTGGCCTAGGGGATGAGTTTTAAAACTCATTCCCCAGGCCAAATGATGAGTCCAATCAGCCCTTATGGACCAAATTTTAATTTCATATCCTGTTATAAACCAGTTTGATATAAGTCAATTTATGATTAGAAACCAATAGCATATTTATCTCGTCTTGAATCGAAATCGATGCAACATATTTATCAAAATTATTGGCATCGTTTTAATCATTGCATCCATAAATCTGTAATAAACGGTAAATACAGAGTTTTAAATGGCCATAATAATAATGTGGAATAAGGTTAATACCTATATCCGGATATATACTATGCCATATGATATAACGTGACATAATGTTTTTAAATCCGGATATAGAATTTATACTATGATAAAACTGGATTAATCCGGATATAAAAAATACATCCGGATTGAGGAATGTGAAAAAAGTGACTACCGGTATATAAAAATATAGGTTTCTAAGCCAGAAATGTAACCAAGCGAAAGGAATGTATTGTATTTTCAACAACATTTAGCTTCTAAGAGCGCACCTATCATAACAAATCAAGTCGTATGATTTAAAATCAATGTAGGAATGCTAATGAACTGAATAAAGGCTTTGCTGAATATTAAAAGTTATCTTTGGCCTGCGCCTAATCACTAAGATAAATTGAATGTCCGTATTGTAAGGTTGCCAAATGCAAATACAATGCAAAACAATTAGAATACTACTTTAATTATGTTATTCATATCCATTTTCTTGCTTAATTATACTTACAGGCTTCCTTTTGCTGAATTTATATCGATAATTTATTTCAATGAAATTATTTATTTTATTGTTATTGTAAAAAGGTGCCAATAGTCAAGTTGAGCATTTGTTTGTTACACCATTTGATTGTGAGTAATACGTAGTTCTGTTTATTTGACATATATGTTGTTAATAGTTTTGTCACAAAATCCCGAAAGACAGATTCCTGGAAGGACAAAGTTAGCCGGCATTAGTTATAATGTTGTCCAATTTAGTCAGTATTATATTCTTTCGCGAAAATGAATTTCAGTAGAACTGTTGGTAATCATATTTCAATTTGGAATTCCAAGATTCTTTTGTACAATATTTCAAATTTAAATTGTTGACTTTATGGTTTACAATATAGCGATATACATGTAGTACGTAGTCTGTATGTAGCGATGGGACTATCGGTGCTAAAAATAAGTGATTCTTAATTGTCATATTCATAATTTATGAAAATCAATTTTTTTTAGGGGAATTTACAAATAAGGGCCCAAAAAGGTAAAATAATTACATATAAGGGCCCTGTTTTAGAAAATTTTAC